AAGGAGTAAATCATGATTCAAAAAAACTCATTTATTAATATAAACAAAATTTCAATTTCAATTAAAAATCGAGCTTAAACTACTTAAAATTATTTATAAGTAATACAAAATAGATTCGTTAAAAAAAAAAATCTCTTTAACTATTTATCCGCACCTGTCATTGTGTTGACAATGAGCAGATGTGCAAATATATTTAATTTCCATTCTAATTTATGTGTGATATTATCATAATAAATTAACGTTATGATTAAACAATTAATTTAATCCATTTTTATTCAGAACTTCTCTGTAAACAATGTTCTTTTTTAATGTTCTCTTATTGTTTAGTGCATAGCCTTGTCCATTGACATTGAAAATGTAAATTTCAATATTTTAAATGAACCTGCTTTAATTGCTGCTACATATAATTGTCGATGCCAAATTCCTGGACGTCGCAATAATACACACATTTTTCCAAAACTTTAACCCTGCGATTTGATTATGGTCATAACAAATGCAGCTATTAATAAGAACGTTGATCTTTGAAAGCCTAATGTAAGTATTGTGTCAGAAAATGTTAAATTGATTCTTGGAATTAAAATTATTTTATTTAAAGTAGCTCCCGTCAGTACTCCACTCTCATTCGTATTTCATTGACTAATGCTTTTGCAGTATTTAAGTTAAGAATACGCACTATAACTATAGAATTTATTTCAAACATTCAAATAACATTCAATGATATCATATCATCAAATAATAGTCCAGATTACTTCAATGTAGTTCAGATTTATCAAAAAACAAAATAATGGAAATCTAGTTTGCAAAATAATAACGATTTCGACGTTTTTGTTTTTATCATTTTGTAGGTAATGAAGAAAGCTTTCAAATAAATATTGGTATTATCAATAAAAAAATTTGTACTTTTTGAGTTATTCGCAAATAAAATACTGATTACATCATAGAAATGTATGCAGCTTGTTCTCGGTAATGTATGTTATTTACATAAATTATAAAAATTTTTTTTGGAAGGGGAAGACTTTAGCCAAGTTTCATTGAAATCGTTGAAGCCGTATTGGAGCTACAGTCTAAACCGAATCACGTTTTTCGGCCGCCATTTCGAAAGGAAAGGCCTGATCATAATGAAACGTATACAAAAACACTTCTAAATATTATTGCGGCGTTGTGTCAAAATTAAAAAGAAATCGGTGAAGAACTTTCGGATATTAGCCATTTTGAACAAACTACCATTTATATTTTTATTTACATACTATTTAATATTTTATTTATTGATAACACTAAAGCTCACCAATATCTATTAAATAAAAAAAGAAGGAAGAAAATCGGTCGAATAATAGAAGAGTAAAAGGGGCTAAACCGTTTTGAGTTTGCATATTTACATAATGATTTCAAGATCTGTAGTTTTTTATTTGAGAAAAAAATCTTGGAAAGAAACCATTTTCGGAGATACAGTAATGTCATTAATATCAACCTGTTGTTATGTCTGTAAATTTTATAATAAAAACAGGTATAAACAATACATATGGGTTATTCGATATTCGGTTGTTGTAAGAAGGTATATTGAGGTTTGAAATCTAAGACTTATGTCTGATATCAGATTTAAAATTTAGCATTATATATAGGATATTGGTACATTATCCGGGCGGGATGAAACCTCACTTGTTATCTATTTTATCTAACGTCACGTCACATAACCTCCCTCTTCTTATCTAGCCTAACCTTTCAGTTATTACATTGTTTATTTTTCAGTTATTCACATATTACATTCAGTTATTAAATTGTTTATTTTTGTTCCGCTTGTGTTTATTTTTCAGTTATTAACTTATTATATTCAGATATTAAATATTTTTGGCCAGTTGGTGGTATTTTTGTGAAATTATGAACCTTGTTACATTCTGGGAATTATCATCTTCAAAAGAACAGGCTATTGGATATTTTCAAAACGTTGGGATAATTGCAAACGTGAAATTGTGTGAGCAAGGACATCAAATGGAGTTAGACAGGGACGCGAAATGGAGATGCTGTCGTTGCTTTTGTAACATAAAAGTTTCAATAAGGAAAGGAACGTAGTTAGAGCTATACATTACCTTACATTAGAGTTTTATATATATATATATATATATTTATTAATACATATATATATATATATATATATATATATATATATATATATATATATATATATATATATATATTAATTTAATATATATGTCGTAAAAAGTTTTTTTTAAATTTGTTTATTTAGAAATATTATATTCTGTAACAATTAAGGACATTTATAATAGTGATCAGAGAGCACACTCACTAAACGACTGGTGCAAACTCTGGGAAATTCGATTCAACCAAGACAAAGCACAACACATCACTTTCACTCTTCGACATGAAACATGCCCTCCTATTTACCTTGACAATGCCGAAATTCCCCAAAACAGATAAAATACAATATCTTGGACTGACATTCGACAGAAGAATGACATGGGGTCCACATATCAACAAAAAAAGAAAAACTTTAAACCTCAAACTACGACTGTTATACTCACTTCTCTCAAGACGCTCAAAATTAAACCTAAAACAAAAATGAACACTTACAATTATCTACATAAGCCCATATGGACCAACGCTTCAAAAATTTACGGAACAGCCAAAACGATACACATACGAAAACTAAAAACTTTTCAGAACCATAACCAAAGCTCCTTGGTACGTCACAAACATTACATTACATAAATAATACAGAAAGTAATAATAATAAAAATAAATGTATATAAACAAAAGAACTAACCTAATCAAAATAACAAATAAAACACATGCATACTACACAATATTCACAGAATCTATTCACTCAGAAGAACTCCGAGGCAAGCCTTTCTCTCCACTCGTGGAAAGAATGGCAGGACTCCAGGAGATCCCAGCGCCTCGCACTGAGCCGCATTACTGGAATTAAGAATCAGTAGAGGCTGAATGTCGTAAAATAAAACTATTTTTTATTATTAATTTGTTTTTTTTTCTGTTTACAATTTCAATAATATGAATATAATCCAATAAATATGAATACGAAGATAGGAATTACGAGAAGGCTTATCAGTGCCTTATCAGAATTATCAGTGTAGAGGTTATAAACATTGGCAGATAGCAGTCAGTCCCGCCCGGCTAATGAAACAGTACCTTATATAGATTGTATAGATTGAAGCACCATAAACCTGTGATGCTTTGTCCAAATATATATATTTAATTTCTGTCTATTTTTCTGTTTTGATGATTTGGAAAAAATAATTTCCGAATTGAATAAAAATAATTGTAATAATCCACCAAAGTAATATATATATAATATGAATATTATATACAGGAACGACGAGCTATGGAGTGACTTCTCGCCTCGGTCGTGGCCCGGACAGCTCAAAGCAGACTGTCCTATATTTGATCAAGCCAAAGCGCTCCTTTGTGGACACAGATGAAAGGCTACTTCAACTTCTGAGTGCTCTGTCTAGTCCCCAAGTCCTCTATATATTTTTATCCTTTGTATACCAGTATACAACCAGTATATATTATTTTGGTATGGTATAGTAAAAAAAAAAGGCAGTATATATAAATGATAAACAGAAACCATACCATAATAAAATTTTATTTTATTATAAATGAGCCGGAAAGAACGCGGCAATGAGCCTTCATAGAAATACCAACCTCAGGAGTATATCGTTTATCATATAGGATCCGACAACTTTCAGCGAAATTAATCAGCTTCTTAGTTGTCACTATAGAGTGTACCACCAAAACACCGAAGAAGCAGGGATAGAAGACAATTCACGCTTAACAAAAAATCAAAACAGTCAACATCCAGTTCTACAGCTCATTAACCATCAACCATTTAAGTCAACATCCTAAATCAACATCAAGTAAAGCGGTCATCGTTCATTTTATATATATATATATATATATATATATATATATATATATGTATGTGTGTGTGTTAGGGAATCAATCAAAAGTAATATTTATTTTATAAATATTTAATAGTTACACATATTGTTGAAATATGCATATGTGATTAATTGTTATTGTTGTTATAAAAAGTCTAATGATCTAAAATCTTTGTTTAAAGTTTGTAGTGAAATAAAAGTGAGTTTATTTCAAATACAGAGTACTCATATTTATTCTATTTCCAACCTAGGAATCATTTATAACGGTTAATTATAGATTGACCCTAACCCGAACAATATATATATATATATATATATATATATATATATATATATATATATATATATATATATATATAGGGAGTAGGGTAGCTCAGTGGTAGGGTACTGAGCATCCAATGCTAAAGGTCCCAAGTCGAATCCCGGCTGATAGAAAAAAATGATTTATTCTGTTTCAATGGCCGTGTGGCAACCCTGGCTAGGTACCCCTTGCTAGGGAACTACCAGCCTCTATAAACTGGGAACCCTTAATTAAAAACAATTAATTAAGGAGAAAAATCTGGCGGTTGAGCGTGATCTCGGTCAAATCACCTCCTTGTACTACCGTAGACCAAGAAACAGTGCTTTCCCTAAGTAGTACTGAACCCAAGACCCTTCATGGTTGAAGTGGAAAAGGTTTATATTACCGCAGGTTTTATTTAGGATGTCAGACCTTCGTGGTAGATTGGTCAGTATGTTTTATATACGTTTTTTGGTTCCATATCAATCTACCTTTCTTTTCACTATGCTCTTTTAACCTTTTCTCGTTTTCTCTCTCTATAAGGTTCATCCCTTAGCCCGCAGACCAAGAGTGATTTGGGTGCTCATCCACTTGACACTTGAGGTCATCCCGTTTTAGCCTCTTCCTCTATCGACTAAGTTGTTATAAGTTAAATTGTATAACATAATATTGCGAAATAACTTCATGATTCAAAACAGATTATCCATTTTTAAATGATTACCTAAACATGTAATTTCCTGGAACCTCTTCTCTTCTCCTTCATCGAGTTCTTTATCTTGTTTTCCTGACGATCCTCTTCCTTCGCAGGTTGGTGGTTCTGGTGACCGTCCTGGTGGTAGGGGACTTCGCGCAGCCATGTGCTTCCCTGCTGTGGATCTACTGCTCAGCGTACGCCGCCATCCTCGCCGCCTCCCTGTTCCTGGACGCCACGCTGTCCCTCTGCGCGCTCAGGGGTGGCATCCTGGACACGGAGCCGAGGAAGCACGTCAAGTACGTCATCTACATCAGGCTGGGTCAGTACTTTCATTTTTTGTAAATAATACAATATACATTTTCATCACTTCATTTAATCGAGCCGTTTAGGCTGTAGCCCAGTAAAAGACTTAAAGAGACCAACGTGAATCTAACCTGAGACAATGGCATCTCAGAAATGTCATAGTTCGGCTTCCACAACTTTCGTTGAAATAAAAATTCAAACATTTTAATAATTTTGATTTATTTTATTTATTTGTTTTGAGGGTATATCTGTAATAAAATATTAATCTCCAAAATTTTAAATTTTCGTAGCTCCAGACACCTTAAAATCCATATTTATTACGACGGCATATTATAGTCCAAGTAAGGAAGAGGAAAGAGGAGGGTACAAATTTTGAGAATTTATTTTTAACTAGTGTTCGCCCAGTGGTTTCGACCACTGGAAATTTGAGGGAAAACATAATTAAATAAAAAATAAATTCAATAAATAAAGAGTAAATCACGATTTAAAAAATCCTCATTTATTAATATAAATAAAATTTTCAATTTCAATTAAAACTCGAGCTTAAACTAATTAAAATTATTTATAGGTAATAAAAAGTAGACTCATTCAAAAATTTTAATTTATGTGTGTAATTATCACAATAAATTAATGTTATGATTAAGCAAGTAAAAAATAAATTTAAATTTGCAATTTCAACTGAGTATATTACTTCACTCTCATTCGTGTTCCATTAACTAATGCTTAAGTTACAATCAATGATATCATTTCTTCAAATAATATTCTCAATTATCTCAGTAAATGTAAAGTTTGTGATTTTTCAAAAACCAAAATGAAGGAAATCGAATTTGCAAAACAAAAAGTACTAAATATTTAAAATGATATATCTCTGCAATAAAAAGTCCGATTTCAATGTTTTTATTTTTTATTTTTTAGGAAATTCAGGAAGCTTTCAAATAAATATTGGTACTATCATAAATAAATAAAAAATTGTGTGTAGGTTGATAGGACTATTTTGTCCGTCTGAAAGAGAAGAAAGCCTTCAAAATTGGTGACTCAATCTTGAGATTTGGTGAAGAATTAACGATGATGTGACTTGCCGACAAAAAACACCATTGATAAGTAATATAAACTCCTCTCTCGATCATAGAGACCTCAAGTCGACGAAATGAGACATGTATTTCATGGCAGAACTATAATATACGTAAGGTTGTGTGGACGCAAACCGTTTGCGTTGCGTCATCTCGAAAATAGTACGTTTTTGAAGTTAAAAACGCATGGACCGATAGTTCCGAAGAAATTATGCGGATCTTGCTGTAAGCATCAAAATTTTCAAAGCCCAATTTGTCCCGTATCGATCTACAGACTTCCCACCGTTCCAGTATTGAAGCCTAGCAAAATGTTTGTATCGACTTTATTTATTTTAGAAAGAAAAACAAAAGCGGAGAATACTATTCGATAATCCCCCGTGAAATTTTGAATCAAACGGTACCCCATTCATGGTATTTGATCATAACAGGAGCTTATATCTGATGCAAAACTGATATCGAGCATTAGAATAAATATATATGTGGAGATAATGGAAAAATACCTACCGATATAAATTCAGGTTACACCAAGAGAAGTACAAGTTTTTTTTAAAATTTATTTATCAAGAAACAGTTTAACACAAACTAAGGACCTTTTGCGTTAAAGGATTCAATGTAGCTGAAGAAGGTCCTGATAATGACCAAGGAAGGATATTCCACGAGCCATTGCCTTCTCTTATAGGCTTTTCTCTTTTCATCTGAATTATGGGAGATGAGAAAGTTGTGAGGAACGGATAAATATCGATTAAAAGATCGTTGAGATAATGTCTTTCGGAGTTAGTTCAAGGCTTCTTAGTGCCGTTTTAGTATTAAACGCTTCGGCCCTCACTAAAGTATCTGTGGTTAGAATAGAACAATAACTTTATTCTGGGACAATAGTTCTTAATATTAAAAGTTTCGTTTAAAAATAAAGATTATTTCTGACCAAAAGACCTATAATAATGAATAAATATTAAAATAATCTGGTATGTCCACGCATGTACTGTTTTTCTACTGATTTTTAAACATACTTAGAAAACTTTAAGTATGTCCAATAAACAAAAACGTGGTGTGGTGCGCGCAACACAAAACTTTCACATATGGTGACGTATTCTTTACTATTGAAATTTTAAATTTATTTATTTTGATAGATCGAGATTGTTACTTGTAATTTTTAATTTTGCCAGCAAGTCAACTCATGTTAGCTTCTCCCTGAGGAAGATCTCGTGTCCTGCTGTGACAATAGACAATAAGCCAGTTCCCTCAAAAACACAGATGTACGGTATCTCGGACTATACTTGGACAATAAACTCACCTGGAATATTCACACTAAAATAAAAAAACAAGAACTGACCAGACGATACAAACAACTGTTACATCTTTTAGACTACAGATCTCCACTCAACTTACTAAACAAGCGACTAATCTACACCACTATACTAAGACTTATTTGGACATACGGAGCAGAACTTTGGGATTCCGTAAAACACAAACACACACACACACATAAACAAAATTCAAACCACACAATCCAAAATACTTCGTAAAATCGTCAATTCTCCTTGGTTTATTTCAAATCACACCATACAAACAGACATGAACAGACCAAAAGTAAAATCCTACATACAACATTTCATTCTTCTACTCTCAATCATCCAAATCCACTCGTTCTATCTCTATCTTCCTCTCTGTTACCTGGTGAGCCTCAAAGACGACTAAAAACTTCTCCAGATAGTCTCCAACAAAACTCCAACATATTTGCTTGATGTATTACAACGCAGTGGCAAATTTAATGGAAAATAAATAAATAAAATAATAATAGTATTACGTAAAAAAAAAAAAAGAAAAAACTGATTCATTTATAACATTTATTACACCCGGTGTAATTGTGGATACCTAATTACTAATTGAAAAAGTAGTTAACATGCTAATAAATTATTTTTTTAAATATATTTCTCTGGCATCAATCTACATTATGAGATTAAGGGAGTAGATTCCCCATTCGCCTCATTTTCAATCTCCTGGTATATCTTTTAAATTTGTGATCAAATAGTTTTAAAAGAATAATGTTTCTATTCGCTGACTACAAGGAAAATATATATAACTGTATTATTAACTATGGAGTTTGTTTTATAAATCTAATGGATCCCAAACAAGTTGAGTTGAGCTGTCAACACCCTCTTCTTGCAGAAATAAGTATTTTCAGCCAAAGAGGGAGTGAAAGTAAAAATACATATTTTAATATTTATATCGCTATAAACTATACAATTAAATATTAAATAATACCGACGATGGCATTTATAAAAACCGCATTGTATATGTACGTATATACATTGTAGGAGTCCGTATTTTTTTATTTAGAAATATTACATTCTGTAACAATCAAGGACATTTATAATAGTGTTCAGAGAGCACACTTACTAAACGACTGGTGCAAACTCTGGGAAATTCGATTCAACCAAGACAAATCACAACACATCACTTTCAGTCTTCGACATGGAACATGCCCTCCTATTTACCACGCCAATGCCGAAATTCCCCAAAACAGATAAAATACAATATCTTGGACTGACATTTGAGAGAAGAATGACATGGGGTCCACATATCAACAAAAAAAGAAAAACTTTAAACCTCAGACTACGACTGCTATACTCACTTCTCTCAAGACGCTCAAAATTAAACCTAAAACAAAAATGAACACTTACAATTATCTACTTAAGCCCATATGGACCTACGCTTCAAAAATTTACGAAACAGCCAAAACGACACACATACGAAAACTAAAAACTTTTCAGAACCATAACCAAAGCTCCTTGGTTCGTCACAAACATTACATTACATAAAGACCTTCAAATGCCAACAGTTAACGATCACATACGGACACACTACAAGCGATTTCACAATAACTTACATGGACATACTAACACACTTATACAAAGTATGGTTACATTTAACATGCCCAAAAACACATTTAGGAGCCTCAAAAGGAGCTGGATGGGGAATTTCCTCGTTTTAAAATATGCTAAAATCAAGACAGGAAGGGATGCCGCTGGGCACTCCTCTCCATCACGCCGATCAAGCCACTATCTGTATACTTAGCGACAGCAGGCCCGCTAATTGTCATTGCTTATGACAGGTAGGGGTGAATAAGTGAAGTTAAAAAAAAAAAAAGTTAATTATCAAATTCCTTTTTATTTTATATTTAATTATTTTTATTAGAGATCAATGCAATATGGTTAATTGTTTCAAATAAAAAAAAAACTAAAGGTACTTTAGGGAAAACTAATATTGAAAATTAGCCATTTGCATTAGCCTCGATGAATTTTCCCTTTGTGATATCCCTACAGTATCCACTTACAATTAGTGTGGCAACGTTTGACGTCATAGATGGGACAGGTCCATATTAGTAAGCTTTGCAATAGAATGGTTTAATAACTAATAGTCGTACAATCCATAATCAACCATTGACATAATAATAAGATTTTTGCTTTTTTAATGGTGTTAATGATTTGTTAGCTTTAGCTGAGTTAAAAATGCACTTTTAAAAATTTTATAATAGCCCAACATTAATAGAAAATAATTTCTATTCAAAGTAGAGTGGTAAGTGAAAGTTGTGTGTTGGTCTCACCAGATTTTTGTAACTAAATATGTTCTCCAGAGGTAAAAGAAAAAAAAATTACGCATTTTTGTATTTGTCCAGGGTGCCAATATTCCATAACTTTGAGCTCTTAAAATTTGTTTTTCAGACTGTTCTAACACTTCCCCCCGCATTCCAAACTCTTCAATCACACAACACAAATCTTGAAGAATGGTGTAATAACTGGAGGATTAAAATAAATTCCAACAAATCACCTTTACACTTTGTCATAAATCTATGAATTCGTGTATTACAGTATCCTTTAATTACACTCCACTTATCCCTGTTCAACAAATCCGATGCCTAGGACTCTGCCTGGACAAATGTTTCACT